TTTTTTTTTGTGAAAATTTAATTTTGCACATATTGGCATTTTCAAGGTGTGACTTTGAAGTTCCATGGGCTTGAAGACACATGCTAGTCACATTTTCTGAAAATCCATGATACGCATATTTCATTATTACAAATTGACGGTCATTATGCTGTTAACCACTATGTAATATTGCATCAGAATAGAAGAAAACACAATTTTGGGTGCTGCTGCCATGATGACCATTATGGGAAAACCATGTTACTGATGATTGCCAAACGTTCAGAAAAGAAATACAGGACTAAAATGCAGCCTGAGTTGGAAAAGCAGTCTAATTGGCTTCTTTTTCTGGAAGTTATACATTTTCAAAGTGTGAACTTGAACTCCCATGGGCCTGAAACCTTATGCTTGTTACACATTTTACTTACATTGATATTACCTGTTGAGCATAATTAAAATTTGATGTTGAATTTGCAGTTTAACATAATGTACTTTTGCATCAGAATCGACAGTAGCCTATTTTGTGCATAGTTATTTCCTGCTTTTTGTCTGTACATTTGACAGCTCTGCTGCCTTGTTCCATTTTTAACCACACAGGATTGTTTCTTGCATCATCTTTGGTGTTGTTTCAGACTCTACTTGAATCTCTGCACATACTGGAGGAGCTAATCACCAAACACAGGCTGCAGTCTCAGACAGAGAAAGATGGCATCTTGACTGAATGGATGGCAGCAAGGTGCGACGCCATGTGCTTGAAAATAAGGTACTGGCTACTTGAGTCTTTGGCCCCATTCAGAATAGGGGACTAACTACTTCGAAGGTTATGGCAACCTACTACAAAGCTTGCCATCTAATCCGCTAATAGACGCTGAATAGATATCCCGTTTAGAAGTATTCAATTGGGTCGGCTATATTTGACCCCAGACTAGTTGGTCCACTGTTCTGAATGGCCCCTTTCACAGTGAAGATCATATGTGCACGTTTAAAAAATATATATATTTCTGGGTGTACAACTGGCCAATCAAGGCTTTCCCCAGTGACACCCATTAGCCTCAAAAGGCAGCCTATAATTCCAAAGACAGCTGGATGGCTTACAAAATATTTGGGTTGATTGGATGGGTTTGCTTGGGTTGGACTCCATGTAAGATTTTGACTAAAGTACAGATTCACATTTTGGACTCCCTGTATCCCAAATCCTGGGGAAACCCCTGTGGCAAATAGATGAATACTTTGGCTATGGCACATTTGCATCTTCATGACACCTTCAGCTGGTGTGTTGAGGTAGAATATAATAATTTGTTAACATCTGACAGGGGTATTTCTTTAAACCATTTTGCAAATTTCCAAATTGTCATGCCTGATAAAAATGGTTACAGGTGGGCTGAAATATTGACTAATTTCTGCTTTTTTTTCTGCAAAATACTGATTTGTCCCTGCAACAAGTCTATGTCACAAGTATTTTTTGAAGGATAACAGTTCCACTTCTGATTTAAAGTCAGAATTTTGTCTGAATTTTAAATATGCTTATTGTGTAAGGTAATAGATAACAGCTTCAGAAAACAAAAAAATAAATATTTGATGTTTTTTTCCATAAATTTGCAATTGGTTTTCATTGGCAAAAATGTTTATAAGGTTTACATTGAATGAAACTTGAGTAACTAAAAGTGTTGTTTTTTTTTTCAAATCAGGATGGTAGAGATGCAGATTCTGTGCGATACCTACCACGTAGAGTCTGTACAGGCACTGAAAGCTGTCAGGTATGTAGTCTGGGAATGGGGTTCCAGGTGGCAATGCCCCTTTGAATAATATACCAATAATTATGTTTCCCATAAATGAACTTGCCAGTATCATATCAGTATCTATTTATGTTGTCCCCTAATTAAAGTGATAATAACTCTTCATTTTGGCCAAAAATTGGATTTTCCTGGAGTAAACGGCAATTTTCCCGTACTTACCAATGGTCAGCGACCCCATTCCTGCATTCAAAGTTAATCCAGGGTTTTTTTCCTAAACGTACGGTTTTTTGTTAAAATCTCTTAAGAGATTTTAACTGACGGAGCTCTCTCTGACATCGCATAGTCACTGTTGACCTACTTAAAACCGCGGGAAAAGCAGACAACAACAACACTATATAAGATTCATGAGATATATTCGTCTTTTTGTTAAAAATACATTAATATCCACAATGTGTGCCATTCTGGGCTTTTCGTTATCCGACGCACTGTACAAAAACTCGCAACTTACGTCTGCGTCTGCATTAATGCGTTTGGCGCCATATGTTATTTTGGTCTCGAATGAACGCGAGAATCCGCGTGGCACCATTACGTCATTAGCAACGAATGCTTTGATGACCGGGAAGAAAAGCATCGAAAGCCCTATTGACAAGCACAGATTTTAGTTTTACTACAATAACGGCCGTTTTAGTGGTAAAATACAATAGAATATATTTCCATGCGTTGTTTACAATGTATTTCATGCGGAATTTTGAATCTCAAAGGAAGAGTTATTATTGCTTTAATGATTTAGACAGTCGACTGTGGTTGTTATGATTGATTGATTAATTGATTGATTGATGTTTCTCATGATTGTACCTTTCTTGTGATGATTTTGATTAAGTTACTATTCCTATTCCTATGCTAAAGATAATTTGGTTAGATTGAAGAAAATTTTTTTTGTCTGAAATTTATGCTGATGGTTGAAATATAGTCTGAAAGGTGTTGTCCAATTAGTACCAAATAAGTGAGTCAAACCAATATCAGTGTTATCTGATTCAGTGGCAGTACTTAATATATTGTTTATTTTGGGTTTCTGAATTTCAGACAAAAAAATTTTATTTTAAATTTTAGACCAAAAAAATTCACAAAACCTTTATTTCGTTTTCTACTTCTTCTCAGCGAAAACCTTCAAACTGCTGTACACGATCACAAGGCTGAGCTGCACCAAGTCAGTCAAGCACTGACGGCCTACGAGGCAGTAGGAGCTGGATTTGATGAGATGGTTTCGGAGTACGCCAAGTTACGAGACGAGGTAGAAAACAAACGCTGGGCCCTGACAGAACTGCAGCAAAGTCTGGAGGATGATGGGTGATCTCTTGATGACTGTTTTCTTCTGCATTATTTCAGCCTACACATGTATCTTTCAACTTGCATATTTTTAGTTTTATGAAGAGATTGTTGTAGGTGTTCTTTTATGCTGTGTATTGCTACAAAGTATCATATCAGTTGGTGTAGTGTAGGCGTAAAGCATGAAGAGCTTAGTCAATGAATCTCTCGTATTCCTGTGTGTGCAAGTATAACTTAGATGACATACAGCCATTGAACTATAACACAGCTGCAACAAAGCATTGAGGAAGACATCTGATATATATATGTATCCACTGCTGAGCAGTGAGAAGTTTCTCAACTTGAAGATTAAGTACAGCCATTATCAGCAATGTCCCATTTGCCTCTGACTGGCAGTGCTAGTCCCCATTTCCATACCTAGTTCGATCTAACAGGATCGACCAATTTCCAAGGGGAGGGACTCTGGCTAAATCGGCTTAAGCAGCTTAGATGTCTGGGATGAATACTGAAGCTGCTAAAAGAAAGTTAATTACCCCCTAACAGCTTCAGTAGATGTGCCATACATCAGAGCCGCTTAAGCTGAGTGCTATTTAGCAAGAAACCCCTCGAAGATGGGTCGACCCTGCTAGATCGATCTAGGTATAGGAATGGGGTTTTAGATGTACAGTGTCAGCTGTTGGTGTTACTGTTGTCACAAGGGAACCATACTTAGAACTTCTATCTCCATGAGATTACCCCTGAGAGTGTAAACCAGGAAGACTTATCTTTGGAAGAACTATCAATTATCTTTAGTTTGTAACCTTTTTAAGTTTTTTAAAGACACCATTTGTCAAATTAGGGTATTTGATAATCTTACATTTAGACCCCATTCAGAATAGGGGACTAACTAGTCCGAGGGTCAAATATGGTGACCCACTACAAAGCTTGCCGTCTAATCTGCTAATAGACATTGAATAGATATCCCCTGGGGAAGTATTCAAGTGGTTCGGCAATATTTATCCCTTAGACTAGTTAGTACCCTATTCTCAATGGGGCCTTTGTGACTATGCACCATCAGACCTGCTGGTACAGTGTATGTCTGATTGCATAGTGCCTGTTGATGTTCCAAGTGAAAAATTGCATTGTTTAACTACATGAGTTACTGATTACTTTGTGGGCTGTGTATTTTGAATTTTCAAAATTGAACTGAACAGAATAATTTAACATATTACTTTGAAAATGAAAAAATAAGCAAAGGAAATGCAGAGAAAATTTTTGTTGTTTATTTCAATGTTTTTACTTCAGTCTATGTCTTACTTTACTAAAGAACTAAGCTAACTTACTGAATGAAAGGTTATCCTTTTTACCACAGCTTTGGACATCAAACACAACAATAGAAATAAATTTGCAACATGCACTTTATTCAACTAAGCAACCTCTTCATATCTTTCATTGAATAGTTGAAAAATCACAAATATAAGAAAAATGTAGATTTAGACATAAATTCTATCAGAAACTAAGATTTCAGTCATCCTGCTTTTTGTTACAAAGCCCAGCAGACGAATTCAGCCAACTTCACTTCCAAATACAGAACTGGGCATATTTGCAATGTGTCATATAGAAATGCAGATAGCTTTTCCTTACATTTAAACTTCTGACATTTACCTTTCCAACAGCTCTGAAACTACATACATGCCACAAACATGAATCCATTTCATAATAAAATTATATGCTTTGTATAAAATGAAAGAATCGTATATCATGAAATAGTTTATTGACTTGGGTGGCTGGGCCTATTCAACTGGCCACAGAGATACTACACCATTTTGTAAATATTAAGTTCAAGATGATATATTGTTACTGTTCACAATGATTCCAAGTGCTTTCATTGACCAAAAACCTTTTTATTCTCTATTTCATTTTGAAATGGCTGCAATTTATTACGATAAATTGAATAAATATTGTTTTTATGATGTTTTAAATTTGATATTTGATTAAAAGGGATCAAATCCTTCGCTGTTCATAAAATCTGGACAACTTTTCCCATCAAAGTGTATTAACACTGAATACACGTAGAGAATAATTTGCTGAATTAGACCAGACTACTGACATCAACAGATATAAAAATGGTCAGTTTAATAATATAACTGTAATTGTGGTAAAGAAAATTCATATGTTCCCAGGTCCTCTTAATAAAAAATGCAGTGACTTGTTAAAGCTCAGAGGAAATAATTAGGGCTGTCACACATAGGGCCAGTCCAGCCCACGCGGCAAGAGCACATGCAGATCATTCCGTTTGGGCCCGGAACAACTTTTAACATCTTTCCGCCATTCATGCACTTCATGGTGGAAGGACTGCAGGGAAATTTGATGATTGAGGGACGCATACCACGCTTGTAGTCATCCATTTCATCAAAGTCCATAGCTCTTCCTGCAACAAATGATGTATTACTGTACATTTATTTTTGAATAGCAAGAACATTATTGCATCCTAATACCAGATATGTTTCTTTTTCTTTCTTTTTTTCATTTGAAATTGCCATTTTCTTTTTTGTACAATCCAAAATTGTGTCTAAGACCCCATTCCCAGAGATTAGATCAATCCAACTAGATCGACCTAACTCCCCGGGGGTTCACGCTAAATAAATAATTGTCAGCCGAGAGGGCACGAAAGTCAATTACTCCCTTACAGCTTGTAGTAGGCAGGACGGACATTTAAGCCGGATTATCTCACAGTAATCTAGTGAGACTCCCCACGGGGATAGATCGATCTAAAATCTATGGGAATGCACCCTAAAACACAATGCAATAGGGATTATGTACAAATTACAATCACAGCATATTTTGTAATTATAAGCTATCTACTTGTCTACTATCAGAGTATAATTACTACTTGGTAATTCAGTAAAATTGCTAAGTCTTTCCATATTATGATTTTACAAAATTCATCTTGGCTACTGATATTATGTGTAGACATTAGAATAATTTAGAAAATGAAAATAAAATTTACAAGTGAGTTTATCGCCCAAAAATTAAAAGAAATTCTATGGAGGTTTGTCTTTATTTGCTTCACATCATTGACATATATTTTTTATTTTCTCTGAAACTGATGATTCAAAATTCCCTTAATGGGCTGATAGGTATTTTCTTAAAAAAGATGTCCACTAATATCTCCCATTTTGACAAATCCACAAAAATTTGAGAATTGCTGATTTAAAAATGAAATAACCATTTCAAGGTATATCCCTTAAGTGTGCTTATTGAAAAAAACTGCCATTAACACCCCATTTCCATAGATTTTTAGATCGATCTATCCCTGTGGGGAGTCTCACTAGATTACTGTCAGCTTGGCCGGCTTAAGCGTCTGTCCCGCCTACTAAAAGCTGTAAGGGAGTAATTAACTATGGTGCCCGCTCGGGTGACTGCAATTTAGCGTGAACCCCCAGGGAGTTAGGTCGATCTAAATCTTAATCTTTAGATCGATCTAAATCTCTGGGAAAGCACCCTAAAAGATGAGGCGGAAGCATTTAAAAGTCTTGTGGCTTTGATGGTGCCAGTTCATTACCCCGGAATGGTTTCAAGAGATGTTTTCTGGTTAACAACTTGTCTCTTTGACATCTCAGGGGAGCCATTGGATGAAATGTGCTAAGATTACAGAATTTAAAGGATGGTCAGATCAATTGTGATGAAAAATGGGGGTTAATGCAATTCCCACTGAGCGAAAAGAAAAAAAAGAATGAGAATGCATCTTTCAAGCTTTTGCCTGAGTTTCCAAATTTCAGACCTTTTTTTTATATAAAATCAATTTAAATTGGAAATCCAGACAGCCGAGGTCGTAAGGCCACCATAAAGTCATAATTTCCTTTTTCTTTCTTACAAACCAAAATTATGCCTGAAATTTTTTCCTGTTATGTATTTCAATAAAAAGGTAAAAAAAATTATAAAATATGATTTTGCCCAATTTATAATATTGATGTGGTTCAAGTGTTGGAATTTTGTGAAGGAGTTCAGTGGATCTAAATGAAACAAAAATTATGATATACTTAATTTATCCCGGATCTTCAGTGAATTGATGTTTTTCCGTCATATTTGTGGCTGTCTAAAAGATAAACATCTTGTCTCAGATCTCAAATTCAGCCATAAATGATTTAATTAGAAAAAAAAACAATTTATGTAATTACATAACTGTTGCTCTACTTTTCTTCATTGCTATCGACACTCAGTAATATGAGCTTTTAATCCAATTTCTGACATAAATTGCTTTTAATAGGTTTTTTGACCCAAGTGTAAGTGAACATGCTTTCCTTTCCTGTAGCAGAACCAATTAACTTGGATAAGATTATTTCAGCAAAATGGGAGGTGATTGTTTCTCCCTAGAGTCTTTTAATTCAAAATAACTTGGTGATGTGAAGATAAAATTCGCATTTACTATGGCAATGAGAGGAAAATTGCCTCTCATGTGGCACCCCCTATTTTACAACAGAAATGAAACTGCAATTTCCAAATCCACTCAGTATGGGGATTTTCACCAAAAATTGGTCTAAACTTTTAGATGAAATATTAGTGGACTTGGCCAACTTTAAGTCTATTTAGCCTGAAGTCAGTAGCATTCCATCTCTGGGGAGCCATTGGATGAAATGTGCTAAGATTACAGAATTTACCCACAAATTTACCAGCACCACCAGAGCGGATGAATGTCAGTGTTATGTATCTCTTTGTTGGTGCTAAATAACTGTACGGCGTGTTGGTTAAATTGTGGGTTTGATGGTTAATATGGGTGTTAGTGCTAAAAGAACTGCGGGTAGTGTTGGTAAACACCTAATCCCTTTATAAGGCCTGATTAGTAAGAGTTCACAAGATATACCTTAAATATGTGTATATTGCCACAGCCACATAATTCTAGTTATAGGTATGTTCTAGTTAATAAGACATATCTACAATTATCTCTATGCAATTTAGTGGTTACAAATAATCATAAAGAACAGAAATATTAATATTTGAGATACCGATGGCGAATTACCTTGAATTTGTGCAGCAAAAGCCATCAAGACTGCCAAGAACACAGAAATGTACAGCAACCAGGAAATGGCCATAATGAGACCTGCAAGAGTGGAAATAGCGAATGAGTATTTGAGTGATAAATCTTTTGTATGAACTGAGAAAAGACAGTTTATCTTAATGAATGTAAGAGACAAAGTTTTTTTTTGTCTTAATATTTTTGTTTGATTAAAAACTTAACTTTTGGTGAATAATATTTAAGTGTTTTTTCAGTTAAGCTACAAAATCAATTTGAAACAGATAGATGATTTGGATCAGAAATGTAGTTTGAATGAAGAACAAAGTATATTACTGAATTTTGCACTTTCTTGGTGTATTTCATCTTTGCATCAGACTTTTCAATTTTCAAATAAACTAAAATTAATATGATAATGTTTAACAGTATCGATTATTCGAAAAGAATTTTATCTGCACTGCAACTTGAATGAAGTAAAACTGTTTACTTTTTGGTTTGTTTCAAGTGCATAACATTTTAGAATAGTATTCTAAATTCAAAATAATAATAATAATG